CCGGCCGCCCTAATTAGGCCTCCCCTCGGATTCGCGTAATCGAGCCGAAATTGTTTTTCCGCGGCGGATCACGGCGAAGATCCGGGAGGGTGGGAGGGGTTGCGGGGGAGGAATAACGGCGCATGCTCGATTCGATACCACTCATATTTATACACGTACGTCAAGAGGGTGGGAGGGAGGGAGGGGAGGGGAGGGGGGAGAGAAAGAGTGAGTTCACGAGCCCTGCGTAGGTCTCTCCTTGAAACGAATCAATACCCTTTGTAGCTTGCGAGAGGTCCTCCGTCCTCGCGCGTCAATATTTATCGTCTCTTTAACGTACGATCAACGCACTACGCGCGAGACCCGCTCCGGGGCGCTTATCAAGGGCCGGAGATAACGATTTACGCTGTCAGTTGCGATTTACCTTTGCCGGTAACACATTACGTCGAGTGCCGAGCCGGGAACTCGCGGGGGAAAATCAGATACGAAAATCAGGCCGAGGGAACGGATATTGTCTGAACGTTTGGGTCGTTCGATAAGTAATTTTCTTAAAGACTCTGGAGAACGGAATTTACATTTAGTTAATTTAATGCCACGCACAATGTAGTCGCCGCTTCGTTCCGCAATTGGCTGCCACCTCGGCGTTTCAATTCCATTTCGAAACGCGTTACAATTAATTGTTAATGCACGGGATCAACGCGACATTACTTATCGAACTTATCTAACGCGATAGATACGTTAAGCGACGGACGTAATTATCTAGAAATTATTCTTCTAACTATTCACCGAGCTACCAATTGTTGTATACGTATTGTTGCCGCTTGTCCAATACTAATGCTCAAGTTATTCTTTTACGTTAAGGTCAAAGAGACGATAGATAAAAAAACATAGTTACCGCTTAGTGTCTATTTGCACTCGTGGTCACTCATGAGGCGAGGCAGATCACGAGACAGCTTTAGACCGTTCTATAGCAGAATTGTGCGTGGCGACTCAACACTGGCTCAAAATGTCTCCCCCGCGGGATCCATAATGTACGGCCGGTTCAGTAGACTAGTCTATAGACGGATGTCGCGGTCTGTTCTAAGGGGGGGACGTGTATTATGTTATGTTAAAACAGATTTAAAACACAGTCACTGATGCGACTTTGAAATCGTGTGCCGTTCGGGCATTGAATCACTGAATCCCCGACAACTTGTGTCAGCAGGTAGCTAGAGCCACGGCATCATGGGTAAGGAAAAGATCCACATAAACATCGTGGTGATCGGCCACGTGGACTCCGGCAAGTCCACGACGACCGGCCACCTGATCTACAAATGCGGCGGCATCGACAAGCGGACGATCGAGAAGTTCGAGAAGGAGGCGCAGGAGATGGGCAAGGGCTCGTTCAAGTACGCCTGGGTGCTCGACAAGCTCAAGGCGGAGCGCGAGCGCGGCATCACCATCGACATCGCCCTGTGGAAGTTCGAGACGGCCAAGTACTACGTCACCATCATCGACGCGCCCGGTCACCGTGACTTCATCAAGAACATGATCACCGGCACCAGCCAGGCCGACTGCGCGGTGCTGATCGTCGCGGCCGGTATCGGCGAGTTCGAGGCCGGGATCTCGAAAAACGGACAGACCCGCGAGCACGCCCTGCTCGCCTTCACGCTGGGCGTGAAGCAGCTGATAGTCGGCGTCAACAAGATGGACATGACCGATCCGCCGTACTCGGAGACGCGCTTCGAGGAGATCAAGAAGGAGGTGTCCTCTTATATCAAGAAGATCGGTTACAACACCGCCTCGGTCGCCTTCGTGCCGATCTCCGGTTGGCACGGCGACAACATGCTCGAGCCGTCCCCGAAGACTCCCTGGTACAAGGGCTGGAAGGTGGAGCGCAAGGACGGCAACGCCGACGGCAAGACGCTCATCGAGGCGCTCGACGCCATCCTGCCGCCGTCCAGGCCCACCGACAAGGCCCTGCGGCTGCCGCTTCAGGATGTCTACAAGATTGGTGGTATTGGAACGGTGCCGGTCGGCCGCGTGGAGACTGGTATCTTAAAGCCAGGTGAAGATAATATAAATTCTGAAAAAAAATAGAATTATTTCAACCGCGCGAGGATCCGCGGAGGAATCTGATTCGGAAAACTGCAAACAATAAATAATAACTGAAATGTGGGCTCCCGAAATGAATTATCATTTATATTTACTCGTGAATCTATAATCTTTAATTCTATAAAGTCCAAGACTTATACGTGACGATTGAAATCCAATTAATACTTCCATTTACTTTAACCATTATTGTCCGTTTAAATTGTTTTTACTGTAACATTTTAAACGAATTAATGTAGATTGTTGAAGATCAATCTAAAAATTACTATTTTTTAAGGTATGTTGGTGACTTTCGCGCCGGCGGCTCTCACCACCGAGGTGAAGTCCGTCGAGATGCATCACGAGGCACTGACGGAAGCCCTGCCCGGCGACAACGTCGGCTTCAACGTGAAAAACATCTCTGTGAAGGAGCTGAGGCGCGGTTACGTCGCCGGCGACTCCAAGAACCAGCCGCCGCGCGGTGCCGCCGACTTCACCGCCCAGGTTATCGTCCTGAATCACCCGGGGCAGATCAGCAACGGCTACACGCCGGTGCTCGACTGCCACACCGCTCACATCGCCTGCAAGTTTGCTGAAATCAAGGAGAAGTGCGACCGCCGTACCGGCAAAACCACCGAGGAGAACCCGAAGAGCATAAAGAGCGGCGACGCCGCCATCGTGATGCTGCAGCCGACCAAGCCGATGTGCGTCGAGGCCTTCCAGGAGTTCCCGCCCCTGGGCCGCTTCGCGGTCCGCGACATGCGTCAAACCGTCGCTGTGGGTGTTATCAAGGTACGAGGAGTTATCGAGACAGGTTTGAAGGCCTGTGCCCACGATGCTAGAACTTGGTCCAAGTTCTAGTTTCGAGAAATGTCTACCCAATCAACTTGTCGCTATTCCATAAAAGCTGCACATTGATTGGCTACACATTTCTCGGAACTAGACCTTGGACCAAGTTCCAGCATAGTGGACACGGACCTTAAGAGATAAGAGCAGGGCTGAGGGCGACTTCACAGTATCTTCTTACTACTCGGACTTCTCCAAAAGATACAGCATTATGACTCATTATTCGCCTTGAAATTAGGTTTTGCCTCTTACGTTTGTTGTAATGGAATATTTTCCACTAAAAATTCCTTGTGTCACGCGTGGGACGAGAGGACCGGCAGTCAAACTTGACTTTTTTTTCGCTTGACAGACAACTGCTTACAAAATACCTCTAGAGCTTATCATAATTTATTGCGCTCTTGAAATCTTTAACAAGATATTTTCGAATCTATTAATTTTTTTACTGTCATGCGTTCCTGATATTTCATGTATAATGAAATTTGTTCGCTATCTACATACTATTTATTTTAAACTTGGATAACTGTCCAAGCGTGTACGGTAAAAGTTGACTTTATGCAAATTATCATAAAATAGTTTCTTTTCATAACGTTAACATTTGTACTCGTTTCCATCAAATAAAATACAAGCTACGCTTCTCTTGATATCCGTATTCTATACTTCAAAAAAGAATTTAAATGTTCTAAAAACAATGTCATTTGTAGAGATACAACGTTCTTACTTTTTCTCAAAAAATCTTTACAAAACACTGATACTTGTTCCAGATAAAATCAAATGTACATTACAAGTATCACTGAATAGTTCTTTAACGCTTCCGCAGAGTGTCACCTTCAAAGACACCCAGGGCAAGGTAACAAAGGCCGCGGAGAAAGCCCAGAAGAAAAAGTAACCATCAAGCTTCCTCGGAAGCTCGCAGTCCGCCGGCAGATGCCCTGTGGAGGCAGGCGTCCCCGCGCAGCAGCAGCAGCAGCAGCAGCAGCAGCAGGGACCCACCGTCAGGATGCAGCATGCCGCCGCGGTGGCTGCCCCGCTCGACTCGTACTCGTCGACTAATACCAAAAGTCATAAGATGTTGTGCTTACCCCCGTTACATTATCCGGTAGTGTTGAACCCGCGCATCTATCCGAACCTGCACATTCAGTTCACCCATGCCCCGCGCACGCCTCACATATGCTAGGGGGAGCGTTGCCCCGCGTCTTACCGCGTTTATCATTAATTACTCGATATTGACGATATGTGTCCGGTATTTACCAGGTACTCAGTTCCCTTGGACTCTGTGTAGTTAGGTTTTTCAATTGATACAACACCGTGCATCAGCAACAACCACGGGATGCCGCGGAGACAGCCGCGCTCGGGATCCTCTCCCGCGATCCTCTCGCGAGAGGAGCGAGCGAGGCAGCGGGTGCATTGCCTCCTCCCCGTCGGGTGTCCCCGTCTCCGCGAGACGGGGGCAGCGATTGAGAGTGCTTAGCCGGGCGCCGTGAACGGCGACGTCGAGGCGAGCGCCGCTGGCTCGCGTACCCAGCAAGACTTCTCTCGATTCTTTTCGAAGGGTTCATTAAGGCTGATTTGTTCCGAGACTTGGTTGCCTCGCTCTCTGTGCGATTAGTTTTATTATACTTATATAAGATATTTATCTACCTAGTTATATAGGGATCATTAGACTATGCTCCCTCTCTTGTCGTCGGCAAGTCGCCGGCTGCCTCCCCTCTCGAGGAGGGAGAACGATCGTCTCCTTAAAGAGGATGAGACATCCGTCGCGAGTCGCTCATGTTGATCTCGGCGCTGTCCCTCCCGCTGACCATAGACGCGCTCTATGACATTGTTTTGACCCTTAGCCAGTATTACGTTGATGTAATAAAAAAAATCTTTAATTGCACATCTCCCCGGGTCTCTTTACTTCCTCCCCGCATCATCATGCAAGTTCTCCCGTAGTTCCGCAACGAATTGAATCCGGCTGCTCGCGATTGCGCGGTTATAAATTATGTGAGGTAGAATATTCTCTTTCCTACACACCTCAGCTCGATCCAAATGTGAATGCAGGCGAGGAAATCGCGTAGGTAGACGTGACGTAAGACGGACGGTTGACGCAAAAGAAGAGAGGCGGGTTTCTAAGGTAAATATAATTTATTCCGCATAAACTCTTCTCCTCTCTTTGTTAACATTACAGCTAGATGTGGTATGTACAAATATATTTAATGCAGTGATCTTACAAGAGTTTTTAGTATAATGCAGGTCTTGGTCAGTCTTTAATTGCCGAGGCCCGTTTTTGGCGGGACGTCGAGCAGACTCAATCCTCTCGTAATCGAACGTGACACAGAATTATATTCGCGGAAAGAGAAAAGAAACGAAACACTTTCTTCGTACATAATCGGAAAATAATCACATAAGTGGAATTCATAAATCAATATATACATACACACACACACATATATATTTATATTATACATAATTTTACCACAGCGCCACTTCTCAAAGTGATTTCTTTCTCACATTCAGCACTACATATATCAATTTCCAGAAACTGAACCAATATGCAAGGTACCTTCATGGTATACCATGCTTGAGTGCGCGATATTTCCACAAACTTACGTAAGGATTTTCGTCTCAGAATGTTCTACAGAAGCTATCAGTGAAATTTTATCGAGCTTCTTGCGAGACACCTGTATAATTTCATGACGTATATACGTATGTGTGTGTATGTATATGTAGGCACTTTTATTCTAACTTACATCGCAATACAGAAAATCATCGGCTTATACAGATCTGTCGGGATCACGAAGCAAAGTCATCACTCCTGCGTGAATCAATTCTGTCAGTGTAATATAATACAATAACGTTCTCATGCACCTGCCGCGTTAATCTAACAGAAATAAAGCTCTCCCGTAGACATAGTCCATGGAATATATTTTATTTCCATAGACATATGTCCACGACCTTTTATTCTTTTCATATTACGTCAACGATCTTATGATACGCAAGAAATGAAGTTGTTTCCAGATCCCCGATGTGTATTAAGACGCAACGTGCACTTCCGTTCAATACTCAATGTGTTCAATATATAAACTGATTGTAACGACATCCGATATCCGTAGACTCACCGATATTCATACTGATTTTGGACTAAGGGAACGTAGTGGCGCGAAAGGTTCGTCGAGCAGATGGAAAATAAGCGTCGAGGAAGGAGAACAGACGGATTGAAAACGGGAGATGAAGTATCCGTTGGGGAAAAGGAAGAAGGAGGAAAACGGGTGTCCGAATTATACAGATTATACAGACGAAGAAAGACACACCGAAGCCAGAACGACTTGGAGCTTCCTATCCTTAATACTCTACCTATGTACAACCCTTAACGCACTTTCTCTCAAACCTCGTAAATGCTAAAGCGACCCACAGCCTCGGTAAATGTACAAACATCCTCGACTTCGGCGTCTCCTACGCGATATACACCCAGAAAGCGGCCCATACACGACGCAATATTTAATTATCGTTACACATAGATATTTTAAGATATGAACAATAATGAATAGTAATGAGCTTTGTAACGCGGTTAGAATTTATATTATGAGATTGACGATGGTACCAATTGTGCTAATGAATTGTATCGTATATAGGCCACTTTAGTCCGTCCACCGCGTATCGCGGTTAATAAAATAGAAGGACCACAAGCTGTTCTCGATTCTCGCAGGCGCGCCGTGTGGACGGCCTCGTCGCTCCCGATTCCGTCGCAATGACCGACAGATTATTCAAGAATGCGCAGGTTTCTTATAGTCATAGATTAGGGCGCTGATCCAAAGATCAGTCTACCGACGACAATCGGAAATTGATGGATCAGAATACAACCTGCCTCGCTCACACAAGCGATTGGATGATAAAACTGGACTTCCCTCTCAGCTATTTTTGCCTCTCCCTTATGTCTAAGGCTGGTGAGTGGGACTATGGTGTTGCGGCCACGCTGGCGGCGACGATTGATTGAAGTTGACAGATATCGTGACCGGGTGTAAAACGGTGTCGGGCCCGGTGTCCGGAATGAAGCTCAGATGGGGTCTGATCAGGGACGCCTCGACCGTCAGCGGCACGTAAAAGGATCCGGCGTCGTGCAGGGCGAAGATCGGCACGCCGTGAGACGTCGAAGACGGCGGCTTATCCAGCCCGGCGCCGTTTGACGCTGGCGGCGAACACGACTTCACCCTCTCCGCCGAGAACCTCTGCTTGATCGAGCTCTTGAACTTGTAGTTGGTCGGCCGGTCCCGGCAGGAGACGGCCCCGGTCCCGGGCGGCGTGCTGTGCGACTGGGTGCTGTGATTGCTGTCGTCACTGACGATCGTCGGCGGCGGCACGATCGCCGGTCGTAGCAGCGGGCGTTCCGAGTCGCCGAACGAGCTCACGCCCGAGCTGGAGCCGTGGTCCGAGTGGCCGCCGTTGGGCTGGCACATCGTCGGAATACTTGTGTGCGAGTAGCCGGCGCCGTTCATCGCGCCATTCATCACTGGCAGCTCGGGGTGCGGGAAGCCTAATCGGTCACCTGGAGCAAATCCGTGCGATTCATTTGCCGAAGCTCCTTTGTACTTTATCAAACTGTATCGAGATTCTAAGAATGACGTATTGACTTGACCGAGTACTAAACATCCATAATCTTCGTGATAGAAGATGTTCATTAGGGTGAAAATTAAAGATTATTTTCTCCTTTCTAGATATGTAAATTACAGTAAACCTGACATATACCACTATTTAGCGTTTCGAAAGGATCGAAAGGATTACACCGTTGTATTTTTGAGGCTACTTATATCTTCCCAATTTATATCGAATAATACGTACTGGTGGCTACAATTTTGTCGCAGTGCTGCTGCAAATGATTGATAAGCTGCACGCAGAGGGCATCCCTCGCGAAAAAGCCCTCGAACTCGATGAGGAAATGCATGGTTTCGCTCAGACACTCCTGAAATCCCAGCTTGTAGTGCTCCGCCGCGGTGGAGGCCGCGGTCGAATGGGACACGCTGTCCACGCTGTCCTCGGGATGCGTGTGCACCGGCGTCACGGGCGAGTGCTTGGTATCTAATTGCAAAATATTGCCAGTTCTGATAATCGAGTATAACTTGTACGTTTGTCATTTTCAGGAAGAGACCATCTCGTCGAGAGAGGACGCGTGTCTACTAGTTCGAAGCGAAACATTGGCTGCTCTTATTGCCAACTCGCGACAATACAATGCGCAACGTTGCGTAATGCATTCTCATCCCCGAAATAATTTTGCCTCTGGGAGATTCGGGAGATTGGGAGGCGAACGGATCGATTGAACGCACGAGCTCACCTGGCCGCAGGCCTTGAAGATACTTCATGTGGCGGATCGCCATCTCGATGATCTCCGTCTTTTCGACTCTGCCCCGACCCTTCTTCAAGTATTCCGCCGGTATGAGTCTGCTCAGATCGGCCAGGCAATTGTTCATACGATCTCTTCTCCGCTTCTCGATGATCCTGTGCGACATCGGATCTTGCTGCAACAAAAATCAAATACGGCCCAATTATTTTAACTGCTCAACAACAACGCTTCGCAGCGGAAGCTTTAAAGTATTCTAAAGCCTCGTCACATACAATTATATAATCATGTACTCCGTCGACGTTGTGTCATTAATATCGTAAAAAAGGAACTTATTGATATGTAGACGAAGGATTCAAATTTCTAAAGCGAGGGAAATGAAATATCAAGGCAATGAGGGCCAGCCACTGAACGTTCGGTGGCGTCAAAAATTTTTAAATAAGGAAGTCAATAAAACGATAAAATAAAATGTACATTTCCAAAATGACTATTTCGCAGATCAGCAAACTCTAAATGTAACGTCGCCGTAATACTCGCCGTAATTTAAATACGCTTGAAGCAACACAAGTACACAAAGTTATAAAAAAAATACTGGCGACGCGCGTGATGCTGAAAGGACTCTCTTCAAAAAGGGGGCGCTCACGCAAGGCGACATGTTCGGGTTTTCGCTTATCTCGCAGTAGTCACGGTCAAGATACGGCCAGACGTGAGACGCTGGGTTCACCGTGTGTATTTATTTACGCGCATATTTCTTACCAATTGCTAATTAATCTCGCACTAATTAAAACGAATGTCGAGTTTCGCAAACAGATAAGGTTTCACGAAGATTTGTTATCCCAATTAGAGTTGTAGCGCGAAAATAAAATGCGCGATCACGCTCGGAGCAATCTTCCCTGGGCCACCCATGAGTGTCTTAAAGTAACGGCGCTCGTCGCGAACGAAAGAGAGAAAGAGAGAACGTAATTACGCTATCGCGCGCGAATTAAAACGCGTTTATCGTCTTTAAAGGTCGCGTCGCGATTCGTCGCCCGAGCGCAATTATCTGTACGTGCCGCATGTCACGATCTCGAGGCACGTATCACGGTTAGTTAGGTAACCGCTTAATTCGCCGAAATGTTCGTCTATCGCGCGAATATGCGGAAAGATAACGTCGGACGATCAGTCGCACGGAGCAACGTGATGTAACGGACAAATCTCGCGCCCCGCGACGAAATTGCGCGCGAGGACGCGTCCCCCGATAATCTTGAATTTTGTTTTTTCAAGCTCTTTAAATGAACCTAAAACACGCCCGTACCGAGCGTCACGGATGAATGAACGGCCGCGGTCACGAGGCCGATCTTCCGCGAGCGATCGGAAACTTTAAGTAATTTGCAATTCATATGTTACACAAACCTACGACGCCCCGCGGGCCAAGTTCGCGCTGTTTATTTTGAAGGTGGTGCAACGTCGTGCAATCTTTCTGATTTTTTTCTTTTCAAATTATTATCTGCACCGCGCCAAGTCACCGTCGGATCTTACGTAACTCAATTCTCGCTGCAAAAGCTCGAGTCGCCCGACCTGGGGAGCAAACAACCACGCTTTATGCCTCCAGATAATCACAATTTGCTCTCGCGGAGATAATCGAAAACCGCAATTCGAGCGCTACTGTCGGGTCCGTTTCAAAACAAATTTTTACAAGAGAATGGAACGCGCGATTCAGCCCGCAATTGTGCGCTCGAAATAGCGAACGGACAAAGGCGACGTCACAATGACGTCCCGAGGCTCGTGGCTCACTTACGAGCGCGTAAAACGTATTCGCGAATCGCGGTAACGTAACGCCCGTTCCTGGCACGCGGCCAACGCGGCGTTTTCCATGGAACTCATTCATGCGAAATTACGCAAGCGATCGGCGCATAAATCGGCGCATCCCGTCCGGAGCGGAATGCGCGGGGAAGCAAAGCGACCCGTGAGTCAAGATGAAATAGCGATTTTTCCACGTGGAATCATAAGGACTGCTTGTGCGAAAACTGAAGAACTATTAATAATTGTAATAATTATAATAGTACCGTAACAGTATAACACTTAATATATAATAGTTATTAATTACAATGAATTAAGGGGACATCTTATAAAAAACAGAGTCTGCCTTTAAGCATTTCAGGCGTTACACTTAGAAACTACTAGAGGAAAGTCCTCTATTACGAGACAGGATTCTATTACGAGACAGTAGGTTTTCAACGTTCAAATTCAATGACAAGTCTTCTTCTCGCAACGATTACGCGATCGAACAATAACTTTTCCGCTAAACAGATTTCAACTCCAGGGGCAATAAATTCACGGTAAAGCCAACAGATGACGCCTATTAATTTAGCAGAAACTCCGCAATCTCATAACAGGAGACTTTCCTCGATACGTGAGACTGTGATTTCGCTTGTAGTTTAATTATTCGTTACATAACATAATTTGCAAATTCGAGCAGACTGCCTTTCGCACGAAACTCCATCAGATTGTTCGTCGTATTTAATCGCGCTGTCCTTTCGAAGAATCACGCGGGTATAAAGAGAGCCGGGGCCCCAAGTTGAACGGAAGGATACGTTCCGAGCACTCTAATTCCTCGCCATTGCCCATTCATCTTTCCCGTCCCCGCGGTAGGGAAGGTATCGATTTCGCTCGATCAGATCGGCGGAAGCGTATTCACCTCTTTATTCAAGCACCGTCTCTTCCTCGGCGGCGGTGAATGCACCGACGCGTCGACGTGGCTGTTCGTCGGGTAGTACTGCATGTTCAGGATGTTATCCATACTATGCGTGACCATCCTGCCTCGAGGGAGATCACACGAGGTTTTCGAAAACGATCGCTCTTCAAGCTCGAGTCGCCGTGCTTCCTTTAAATACCCGCGCCACGTGCGACAGATACACGTGGGTACCGTGCGAACGTCAACTTCCGTAGGTAAGTATCAGAGGCCCCCCGTCACGCAGGCGAGAACTCTCGTGAGGGGAAACTCGACTCCCGAACTATTTCCTCGCGAACAGCCCGCGCAAATGGTTCGCACTGTCTCGTGCAATTGCGCCGGGGTACTTTTCCAAGTTTGCACCAAAAACGGCCGTTCCCGGTCCAAATGAGTCGCACAACGAAACACGATTTGATTTTACAGTCCACAGCTAGTATCCTTCGACACTGACCAATTGCCGGATTATTACCGGCGGCGTGTTTGCGTAAGTTATTGTTACTCCAATTTCACGTACAGTTTTACGCGTTCGGCAACGTGGCAATGTATTTACAGTCCCCCTTTGTCTCCCGATTTCTTTTTTTATTTATATGCAAAGACGTGTATATAGTCTACATGTATATCTTCGAGAGTTAAAAGCACCACGCGACTTCTCGAGATCCAGCGCGAGATCGGCCGACCGCTCGAACACTCGGGGTGCGCCGCTCGCTCCCGTTATCGAACAAGTGCTGTGCGTGCTCGCGAATCGCAGGCGCGCCGACGACTACGAGCCGCGAGCGACGACACTCGAGTTTCTTCAGCTATCAGGGAGGGAGACGTCACGGCGTATCGCGCCGCGCCGCGCCGCGCCGACGGCGATGAGGAGGCATCACGTGTCGGAAACGCGATGCATTACGCCCAACACGTGAGGCAACACGCGTCTCTCCGCCGCGTCACGTCACGCCGAGCCGGGGGTCTTGCTGTTTCTGGCTTTGACCACCGCCAGTCCCTCCCCGCTTTCCTTCCACGGCACCCTCCGCGTATCCGATCGCGCCGCTGTTTGACCTCCCCGAATTACCACGCGGATTTTCGCGCGAAGCCTCTCTCGGCTGTATTTTCCGTCGATCGTGCGAACGAGGCGACCGCTTACGAATAATTTACGAATATTTACACGACGTTTCTAAGAAAGACCTCGATTTGTTTAGCAGGACATTTTGCGGCGCGCAGTTCTACGTAAAATCAATTGCGTTAAAGAAACGTTATTCCTTCGGCGATTTAATTTCTTATATTAATTATTATTGTAATTATAAATCACCTTGAAAATAACCTTTTTTTTTTAAAAAAAAAAGTGAAACAAGACGCCAAGTACAAGCGCCATCCAATCAAGAGTTATGTAATTTAATACATTTTTATTGTTCCTACAAAAGTAATGATATCAAATTGCGCCAATAAAAATGGATATTTATACAAACTAGATACTTAATTATTTTTTATATTAAAATGTTATATCCAAACAATCGAGCATAGGATTTTACCGAAAGAAATAAAGGAGACAGTAATATAAATGAGACAATTGTGATTATAAATGATAAATTGACGGGGCGTCTTGTGAGAAAGAGTTAATTTTACTAATGTTTCCCGGACATCAGCATATTTGAGAACTGTTATACATGTGCGAGAATGTAATTTCGCACATATTAATTATTCATTGTATCACATAATTATTTTTATTAATACGTAATTACTTGTTGTACCTCATTTCAGCGTGTTCGTACATTACAAAAGAGGGCAATTTTCGAATTTATTGGAGCAGGAGATGATTATTTAATCAGTCAAAGGAACTCGTATGCATGTCAATGTAATTTATGATGTCAAATATATTCTTACACGTATACATATTCCATTACATAAATCTGCCCAAATACATTAATTGAATTAATTAATCCTAACATACATTTGTATTCGCGTCCCTGTGATTGTATATTTAATTGTTACCTTTTCGCCAGCGCCGACACATATTATAGTCCATTTAACAAAAGGGCCGGTAATTAGTATTGATAAAATAAACCAGATGAGATGCGAGTAATTAAATATTTAAAGGCGAAAGAACATTCAGCTAATAATTTAGTTAATAATAAATTATGCTTTAGTTTATCCCGAATAATGTAGAGAGAATAATTAATATTTCCAAATAATTACTTATAAAGTTATGCAAAATTGATGCAAAACGTGCACGAAGTAAAAAGCGCAATCCCTTTCTTTAAATCAAATAAAAATTTCAGTAACTCTCACAGACACAAACCAATGTGTACTCCATTTAATAAAATGCTTATTATGTCAAAATAGCTCATACATTCCGTAGTTGAATATTATACATATTATTAAGTCAGATGCTTCCAAATCCCGGAATGTCAGATTTTTGTCAATTGCGTGTTGTATAACTTCTCCTTCGGTTTGATATCCGGTTAAATAGATGGTGATACTGGTTGGAACAATACATTGAACAATAGTAACATTCAAATTGCAATGTTTTAGTCATCTTGAGTACATATGTGGCCACTATACTATAAGGGATACGATCCGTGATCTCTCTTATGTGACGGTCAAAGCATGCCTTTCCACAATTACAGCAATATTTCGCTTCATCTAAATATCTTACCAATATAGCTGGTATTTTAGCTGCGACCTGTGCTACGCTATAAGATGAATTGGAATCATTATTCGGACTTGTGGATTTCATACTTCGAGGAACAAACAACAGGAAGAAGCAACACACCTTTGATTTATGATTACTCCAGCTGATAATTCCACAAGACTTGGCATCTTCAAGTTACAAACGTAAGAAATGTGATTGTTCGGAAACGGATTGTGCGAAATTTGTGCAATTTGCACGTTCAGTTCGGCAATACTTACTGGTAAATACGATAACTCGTTGAAACGCACGTCCAACACGGCTAAATGTTTCAGATTTTTTATACTTTGTGGTAAATATGTCAACTTATTACAAGACACTATCAATATTATTAACTTATTTAGCTTTGTGACTTGTACGGGAAACTTAGTTAACTAGAAATAATGATAAATTATTTTTTATTTACCATTTAATCTCATAATATCAACTGGATCGTGGTAACTTACCGAATTTCCACTTAAATTTAGAGCAAACAAACTGTTCTGAGTGGAAGTTTGTTCTAGCCAGGACCAATCTTCTTGTGCTCCGAGATTATTGTCTGATACATCGAGCTCTTCAAGTTGAGGTAAAGTGCCAAAATTCTTTGGTATAAAAGAGATTTTCATGCTTCGTATGTTTATACTTTTCAGACATTGAAGCAATTCACAGTCAAAGAAGGAATTTATATTACAGATTAAGAACTTTTCTATATATCGCTTTAGCATTAGTGTTTTCATATCTTCTAGACCTTCCTCGGATGCATGTCTCTTTCGCGACATTGCGGAAAGCTATTTGGATATAAATTTGAAACAGAATGTCAGGTTTATAACATTCAAGTGTACGATTTAATACGCAAAGAAAATTTCGCAAGTTGACAGCTCCAGATTATTAATTTTCTCTAGATTATCTTGTATCTTTTATAATCATGTCAGAAACAAGGAGATGTCAAACTTATTCTACTTTCTTTTCTCTTTCTCCATTATTAATATATAAATTATTCCGACAACGCTTGTGTTGTGCTACTTTTTAAAAAATTGTAAAATGTGTACTTTCTTCAAAATGACACGAGAACTGCGCGTTTTATTGTACTTCGCTATACAAATCAACACAAGACGTTGTTTTACTGTACTTGAATTTAGAAAATCAAACAGAGTTATACGATTAGAAGAGGAACATGTTGTGTAATATCCCATTACCTTGTTACTCCTATCGCTCTTGCAAAAGGAAATAGCAGACTTCCTATCGATCGTTAATTACGTCTCGAGTCTTCAACATGAAAGTTGGCCAAGTATTCGCGAACCTTGACATTACTGTCGTGTAACTTCGTTACTGTTTATTGTTTCGTACGTCGACATTGACGGAATCGAAGCTGAGACGGTGTTGAAGTCAACGTTCTAGGTTAAAAATTATTACCCGAGATAAACAACACAATAACGTTAAACTCTTTTTCTAATTTTATTATTCTCGTGATCTACACATCGGCGGAATTGTTAAGTGGCTATTGAACGTGAATGACGTCGAAAACTAAAAAGAACTACGTTAAAGTTTGTATTTCAAGTAAGATAATATGCGTACATGCTGTAGAAAAAAACAAGTGCAAGAAAGAAAAGCACGGGACTAAACTAACTAGCTTCTCACAACTAAACTACTCCTTAATCAGCAAAGGTTAGTAAATTTACAAGATTCGCGCCTTATTAAAGCTTGGCGCGAAATACGATTATCCGCTAACGGCTAGACGTCTCTCGTTAACTCAGCATGTAACGTCATTAAATATTTCTCTGATTAAACATTAACAATATCGGTAACATTAGCAGAATGTCGTCATTACGTCTTTACAAGCACGACGCGATGACATCATTAAAATGTATTAGAAAGTCGTAAACGACATGGCGAGACGGATTTAACTGCATTACTTTATGATTTATTTACTATCTTACGTTGTAAAAGCGCCTTATATTTCCTCATGAATCAGTCCTTGCTTTTGACCAATATGCGACGTGTCTCTCACGTTTGCTGCTATCTATCGAACGTTCGAAGTCCACCGAGATAGATCCGTCGTAGAAAATCCGGCAAAGAGGTCCAATTAATCTTGATCTAATTTTATAAATATTGTAGTCTATTTAAAAACGTTCTTATCGTTCAATAATTTGTCGGCCACGAGCTAAATTAAACATCTGCTGGAAATAAGATGCGGAGGAAACTAATAGAGAAATGAGCTATCGTTGTCAGTCACACATGTCTAACTTAGAATACGGTGTATGTATTATCAGTTAAAAATGATCGACGAACCGAGGTCGACGCATGTAATATAAAACATAATATCCGCTAGCATGAGTTTGTTTTCTCCAAATCTGACGTACTTTCCTGCACTCCTTCCGCAAAGTAAACGAATCGTGCTGTCCTTATCACATTTGCAAAAACACACAAAACGACGTGGCAAAACGTATTTCAGTTATCTTTCGCGCTAATCTCCGCCAGCGCCGAGTTATCGTCATTTCGGTTACAAAGTCTGATGTGATATAAGTGCGGATAAACACATAATACATTTGCGATTGTAATTTCAATAGCGAAGTACGTGATTCGAAATCGAAATTATGGCAATGCGTGTCTCTTAAAAATTAACCGTTGTAAGATATCATCGATATATTCTGCTGTCGTTATTGACTCTCATTTGTATTACAAATTAGGGAGACTAAAAAGTTAAAGCGGTAATAAACTCAAATGTAACTTGACGTGCCGTGGGCGCGGGAAGACGCGAATGGCTAAAAAACTATTACACCGAGAATCTTTCCTCTCGACGTCTCGCGCGAATTATCGCACTCCGATTAACATAATCGTCGTACAAGCCGCGCCTTACGTAGACTGTAAGACATCATCAAGATATAGCATCAATAAATTGTAATATCGCCAATTATCGAATTCTCTCATTAAATTATAATTCTGCAAACGCAAACATCCGCGAAGCCATGATAAGCCCCGCGATACAGAATACCGAGGCGTGTCGGGAGAGAACGGCGGGCAGTTATTTGCACATTGACCGGCGATCGCCTCGAAACAGTGAGAAGAAGTCGACAGAAGAAATCCGACGACGACAACGACGGCGGTGGAAAAAAAAAGCGGCGCGAGAACCGCTTTAACGGGGTCGAGTTATCGGCGTGCCGGATATAACCGGTACTCGATGATCTCTGCGCGCTCTCGGCATGAAAGCTCGCATTATGACCGAGGGTTTATCGCGCGCGCTGACCGCGGTGGTCCAGCCAGTGTTTTTCAAACGATAACCGGGCATCACCGGATCCCAGCATCTCGGCGACAACAACCGCGGTCGAAGCCTCTTATCGTCGCTCCGCCTCGGGCGCGAATCTACTTTTGTTTCGACGATCGCCGATACGTCGCGCCGAGCTCGACTCGTTAAAGTCCACTTTTAACGTAATTCCCCTTTGAGAGTTCAGGATAGTGTTTTTATTTGTAATCTTATGTGTAATACGGAAATCACTTGAATCACACGTACTTAAATCATTCACACGTTAAAATACAAGTGCACGGAGAAAACGATTTCTTTGGATTTAATAAATCTCGTTGTATACAAACAAATCATTTGTTTGAAACAAAACGTATATTCTTTGCGATCTAAATGATATTATTGTTTCATTCAAGCAACATTATCGTTTGATAGAAAATATGTGAAAAAATGTACACGCATACATCTTTTTCCCTCTACATTATAATTTTCCCTTCATTAGAGGAAGAAAGATAAACACCGAATTAGTACACTACGTTCAGTTATAAAGAATAGACCATTAGATGATTAGACTGCTTCTGCTGATGCGGTCGCTTATCTCTTGGCCGCCGTGATTTTACTTATGAGTTCGGCGGCCATTTAGTGGCAGCATCGAACTTTATAGGCGCCTGGTCAAATAATATAATTGTTTAATTGAAAGGTATTACTTGAAACAGCAGTATCTTTTCTATCAAATAATAGAGATTGTTTGAATGAAACAACAAAATTTTTATTCAAACAAATAATGTTTCGTATAGGCATACGTTGTTTCAATGAAACAAATCTCGATCAAATAAATGGGAATACTAAATCCAAAGAAACCCTTTTCTCTGTGTAGAAATGAAATTGTGGATCTTGACAGAATTAAATTTACTTTTCGTGCCTTGTGACAACGAAAACTAATCAAAGATTCAAAAATGTGTAAAATAATATATGTATATTAAGATACATGCATATGTGTGAAAGTACAAAATAGAATCTTATCCTGAACTCTGGCGCAAATTGTAGATCTAATGTGGTCTTTAATTTGATTGTTAAAACAAAATAAAAAATCTGGGATATTACGAACATAGTATTATCTTCACAATTTCTCTGTGCCTATCGTTATAACGAAGTTTTAAAATATGACTTTCGTTTAAAATGGTGTAAGTTGGGTCGAAAGACGCGAAACTTAATTTAAAGTATTCTATAAAATTTTCAACGGTTACGATTTAAGTTCCCGGATTAATTAAGATTTAACGAACCTTACCTTAGAAATTGTGCTACATATTTTAACTTTAGTAACGCCAGGATAAAAAAACCGCTGCAATATCCCAAGACTCTAGCACCCCCAAATTATCATATATAAAATCTGTGATCTGATTCTAAAAGAGCAAGAGTTTTGGGGAAATTTAATTGTCGCATATCAAATGCATAAGAAACATTCCGGACTTGTTTAGGGGCCAAGCTATTTCTTTCATTTTTTTAACAGATTGTTGAACATTCTCTTAATTAAATAAAATATTATCAAGACACACACACACACACAAATGCGTGCGCGCGTCAACGAGGTGCACCTTACACGAGGAAAATTCAACCCGCTCGTGCAAATCGGCGCATGGCGCTGTCGCGGCGTCTATATTTAGACGCAAAAATAAATTCCTCGACGCACCGTACGCCGGAGCAGCCTGCAGATCGACGACACGGCAAGTTGGCAAAAAGCGCGAGGAGAGTTCATCTCGAGGCGGACCTTCGCAACTTCGCGCCCGGTGACGCCGATGCGGTCATCGGGCACTTTCCTGTTACTTCCACATCCGCTATTTACCTGCGCAGCAACTCCGCGGTATTTCTTTCCCATCGGAATCGTTACGAGGAATCCGCCGGCGGATTTACGACCGTCGTGTATAATTTGTGTCGCGCCCCAGATAGCGGACGGCGTTTCCCGTTCCTTCGACCGCCGGGTATTTTTGCCCGTCGGTTGCGAATGCAACCTTGAAGCCGCGAACCATCGGCCGGCGTTAAATGGTATCTCCATAAATTAAGATTTATTCGGCGGGCAGAGAGCAATGTCGAAACCTCGGTGATCGAGAGCTCTCGGGGCCTTGAACGGCACTGCGAGATGTACCTCGCTCGCGCAACACTTACACTCATGTAACACATGACAGCGGGGATTTTTTTTAAATTAAAATACATTTAAGATGCGCCGCGTGATCCCGAAAGACGTGGGCAACCGCCAGCATCTCTCCGAATTTTTCGTGCCGATTGACCCAACGCGGCTGGCCCTCGATGCCCCTCGAATAAGATGTTAATAAAAATACCAGGCGTCACAATCGCAGGAAGCGCGATTTATTTCAATTTAATGTTTCGTACAAGCATATGGTGTTTCAATGGAACAAATTTCAATCAAATAAATAGGAATACCAAATCCAAAGGAACCTTTTTCTCTGTGCGATCTTAAATGTTCAACTTTCCGGCGATAAAAGTCTATCGGTTTCGTGCTGGTAAATGAAGCTCACCTCTTTAGTTTACCGCATTATCTATGCGATGACTCAATATTTTTAATTACGATTTAACATTCGAGTTTTTTATCAGGCACTCTCGGCTCCCTTCGACCGACCAGTCGACCGGCGATAACAAATGACTCGTTGATATCACTTGTTTGCCGAAACCTCCCTCTCGCGTGGCGCGTAACTTAACGAACGGGCGCGAAAGACCGATGGCTCATCGGATTGATCTGCACGTTCGGCTGACGTCGCACCCCCGCGCCGGGTAACAGTCGCTCGCACGAGACATTAGCGTGGGAGACATTAGCGCGAAAGGAGCGTTACGGCCACGCTAATCGCGGATGAAGCACACGCGTCGGCGGATAAACACGTCTTGTTTTCACCAACCGGCGAACGGTGACGCATTCGGAAATGCGTGCTATTTTTGTCGCGCCGTCGCGTGTCCGAGCCGAATCACGCTCCCACGCGAATATAAGTATGGACGAGCGAGGAGAATTTTCGTACAAGTTTCTACAGCGACTGTTTAACCCCCGGAGGACCCCCGAGAACGGTCCGACCCTCTCAGGCAGACCAAGGGGTCGGAGAAATATGGCGAGCCGAAGAATATGACTCTCTGACGTCAAAAATAACATGTTTCATCAGTAATGACAGACAAATGGTGCTTTTTGTTGAAAAATATGAGACATTTTCAAATTGTAAATAAGTATTGAAATAACCATAGCGACGTGCAAAATAATTAATGCAGCCCGTGCGCGTTTGCGGCCAAGTTTTATTCAGCTTTGATAAATTAACTATGAAATAAATTTTTAAACTTGAATTTGTATACATTTAGCTCATCGGTGTAAAAAAAGGGAAGGGGAAAGGTCCCGCGCGGTGCATTTTCTATGAAAGCAAACGAAAGGAGCAGTGTATTTCCCACAAATTTACCGAAAAATGTTCGTTGAAAAATGTATGATAAGGAAATCGCGGCGTCGATAAGCCACGTGCCCCGGCCTAATTTGCAATGAAAATGGTTGTTTGTGCCATTTAAACGCGACCGTGGGGCGCGCTCGGTATGCAAATCGCTTTACGTGACACTCGACAAGCGTTATTTGGATACCGCGAGTCGGCTATTATTGGGCTCGTTCACGTGATGTTTTCATGAGGTGTTGAACAACGCAAGAGGCGAGTAGGCTTCCCGTCGCATTCCGCCGCGGGAAAACATTTCCACTGGCAAAAGTCCGAGAGAGCTGGCAGTAACCCTGCTCATCAT